CGTTATTATTTTTCACGTCATCAATACCAAATTCAATCTAATTGGATGGGAATCTACGTTGCATTCGACGCACCACTACAAGATGAATCGACAGATTCGGCGGTATTCATTGGCGGCAAATCATTGCAGCTTGGTGGCGGTGGCGTTAGCATAGTAGCATGGACGACGAGATGATTGAAAATGAACACAACGGAGATCTAGTCCTATTGGCAGACATCCATTTAAAATGTAGGCAACGGCATGAAAAAAGTGGTTTCTACTTTTACTTTTATACTTTAAGTAAATTTACAAGCCTGTACTTTGTTACTTTTACTTGAGTTAAGAAGTTTAATCAGTACTTCCACTTTTACCAGAGTATTTTTCAACACAAGTATCTGTACTTTTACTCAAGTACGGAAAGTGAGTACTTTTGCCATCTCTGCTTATGTAAAGAAAAACACTTAGATTTAAAAATGTTTGCAGTGTGACTTTTTTGCAACTCTTTTTTGCAAGTATTTTTTAGTGAATCATCTGGCCAGTGCAGCTGACAGGGTCCCCGATGCAGTATGGGATTCCTTGTTCCCCCTGGTTGTCCATCAGCTCCACAATCCTACATGGACCATGCAATGTGGAGCCAGTTTCACACAGTACTGTGTTGGATTCTGCAACTACACAGAGTCCTTAAAGGAATAGTACACCCAAAACATGATTAGCCTTCATTTTCTACTCACCCCCATGCTGAACAACACCCTGGAGTACTTTTTTGATATCTCAAATGCATCTGGAGATCTGGGAGGCTTCTTGCTGTCTGCTGACATTCAAATAATGGAGGTCTATGGTGACCGAGACAGAAAGGTCCATAAAAGTCCACAAAAGACGTGTCAATATTCCTCCATACTGCTCGTCCAATGTATTCCAAGTGTCCTGAGTGGGTAGCGTCCATAATTTACTCGAAACGAGGTCATTTAGAATGTTTTTAGAGCATAAACAGTAGTGTATAGGATTTCCTGAAAGCGCTCGCCTGCGCGTTCACGACGCTACGGAAGCCGGCAGACCAAACCAGATGAAAGTGCGCATTCAGCGTCTGCTCTGCCGATAATGCAAGCGTAGAAGAAGAAATGTGCTGTTTACCTGTGCAAAGAAAGAAACAACGAAAGAACAATGTCTGAGGACTTCAGTGTTGAGGAAGAGCATGAGTTCTTTGCCGAGCTGAATGCGCACTTTCATCTGGTTTGGTCTGCCGCGGTTTCCGTAGCGTCGTGAACGAGCTTTCAGGAAATCCTATACACTACTGTTTATGCTCTAAAAACATTCTAAATAACTTCGTTTCGAGTAAATTCTGGATGCTACCCACTCAGGACACTTGGAATACATTGGACGAGCAGTATGGAGGAATATTGACATGTTTTTTGTGGACTTTTATGGACCTTTCTGCCTCGGGCGCCATAGACGTCCATTATTTGAATGTCAGCAGACAGCAAGAAGCCTCCCAGATCTCCAGATGCATTTGAGATATCAAAAAAGTACTCCAGAGTGTTGTTCAGCATGGGGGTGAGTAGAAAATGAAGGCTAATCATGTTTTGGGTGTACTATTCCTTTAACCTCATTTGATTGATGGAAAGCTGCTCTATGATGAGCCTTGGCAGCACTATGCCTGGTTCTATCAAAAGCAGTGTTCAGCCTACCCTGATGTGGACGCAAAGCCACTATAGGATTGAGTTGACTTAGAATGACCCCCTTTGGTGCCACCAAGTGGACAATGAGTGTTTGTGTCTGCTGCAATATTTAGCATTGGAATATGTTACATTATAAGATGTGAAGGAAGTTTCCATTACTTCTTTTTCTGTACTGATACTGGCTTTTTTCATCCCTGCTAAGGAAGAGGTATGATGAGAGATGAGCAGGGCAGGAAAAAGCCAATGGAAAAGAGGCATTGATTACCCATCCTGGACTGTGCTGCACATTGAGGATGATGGGAGTCTCAACACTGAGGTTTACCTGAAACCTACACAAACAGACCAGTATCTGCAGTTTGATTTCTATCACAGGCTGCAACATAAGCTGTTATCAAACTCTGGGTTATTGGGTGGATAACATCCCCTCGGTTACCGGGGGCAACAAAATGAACTCAAACAGTTTAGGAAATCAACCAGAGGCGAAACAGCATCACAAAAAAACATTGGAATTCTGTCTGCGTCAGTATGGAGGGAGTTCTGTCCCATTATTGTTGAATAGAACATGTTTTCTGAATGGATATTTGAAAAAAAAAAAAATAAATTCAGAAAGAAAACTTCGAAAAACTTTAATAAGATTTTATATTTTTTTTAGATATAATTGTTTGAATATTTTATTTCATGAAATAAAAATTTTTGCAACTTAAATTTTTACATTTTTTTTTACAAATTTGATGATTTTTTTTTTCATATTGAGTTTTACGAATTGCATTCTTTTCAAATTGTGTTTCAAGGATCACATTCTTATCAATTTAAGCCCAATTAAAGCACTCGCTCTTCAGCATCGAAGATGTTACTAATATCTATGCTTTTTAAAAATAATTTTATTTATTTAATTCAATCTGAAATAGAAAAAATTTAAATGAAAAGATAAAATATATATATATGTCTCTCTCTCTATATATATAGAGACATATGTTTTCTTTTTCATAACTACTCTTAAAACCATTTTATTTTCTTTTTTCATTTTTAGATTAGTTTTTATCTTCATATTTTCATTAAAAAAACTTTTTTATATAGCCATTTACTTATGTTCTTTGTAACAATAATGGAACAAAATTCACTCCATATTTCAGGAGTTTCTGAGATTTTCTCTAAAAACAACATAGCAGGGAATTTCAAACCCAGCAGCACTCAGACAAAAGCTGGTTAATTCAGAAGAGAGAGCAACCAAAGCAAATATAATAATAAGATCATTATAATTTTGATATTTTTTTAAATGCACCATGTTGACAAAAGTATTGAGTTTCTTTGCTTTACACAAACATGAACTTTAATGATAAAACGTTCATACAAAAGCTTTCCATGGAGTTGTTCACAATTTGTGAGCGGCTTTCACACAATCGTTTAGGTGTTATTGGGAATATCTGGAAATAGTTTTTACATGATGAATTTTGAGATGAGGTAAGTTGGAGTTTGCTTGACTTGCAGTCTCTTACAGCTCATCACGAAGCTTAATTTTTTCTGCTTCCAGGGTTGTAATCCTGCTGGATTTTTTTCCACTTTCTTACTATAATATCTTAACTCAGAGTCATGGCTGAATTGAGCTCCAAAGAGCAAGTCAATTCAGTCATTTGGAGGAAAGTGTTAATATAGTTTGCAAAATAGGTAAACATTAGTAAAGAGAAATTAGAGTGGCACAAAAAAGTTACTAGACCAACACCAAATAAACAAAAAGCAACAACAAACAGCTACAGAGATAAAGAATTATGGATTGCTTTACAAATTTTTTAAAGAATAAGATTTCTGATATACAGCAGCTTTACTTTCCTAGGTTGCAGAAATTATTTTGTACCTTTCGACGAAACAGTGAAAGTAAAGGCAGGAGGGGAATCGTTGACAAAAATCCTGACAACAATAAAATGTTAGAAATATTTAGTCAATAAGTACAATGTTTCTAATAAGAGGAAGCCAAACAGTTCTGAGTCATTCTGTAGGATTCTCGTAATGTAGCTGTGTTCCATCTACCGTTTTTGTTCATGCTTTTTTATTCAGTGTAAAACTGTCATCTGTGTATATTTTGATCTTTATATCCATCTTGAATTAAAAGAAAAGTCCGCTCATATTCAGAATTCAAACTTCTGAAAGTATTTCAAATATGAAATGATTCCATCCTGTTCAATAAATGATAAGTGTTTTTAATTCAGAGTAATTTCCATGTGAATGTGCTTTACTGGAGGAATCCATGTTTGTCAAAGAACACTACTGCCACCTACTGGTTAGTGACGTCACGGTGCGGTATCGGCTGTTGATCAAGTCCCAGTGCTGTATCTGGTGTTTGTCACAACGCGCTATTATCCAATAGCCTCGTGAGACCATCCTGATCTTGCGAGCTTTCAAGGTTTCACTCGCTAATCAGTCTGGAGACTCTCTGTTGAAGAAAATTTGGAGCCGTTCGCCAACTTCACCAACGAGAAGCGCGACAGTTCAGTCTAAAGAACATGGCGGCTTCAGCCGATGAAACTAGCGTTAGCGTGGCTATCGAGCAAGTTTTATCGGAATTACAGAGTATTTCTTCACTGAAAGAAGAGCAAAACACTGCTCTGGAGGCTTTTCTCAGAGGAAAAGATGTTTTTTGCTCTTCTCCCAACTGGTTTCGGCAAGAGTAGCCTGGCTTGTGGTTGTGTTTTCGTCGTCGCTCTGTTAGTACGTCATATGCTTCGTTGATCTGATTGGTTTATTTGGCCCGTCTATCACCAACATAGGCCAATCAGCTAACCAGTATTTTTGCCCCTTCCCAAAATTACTTCAACGGAAGGTTTCCAGATGGATATGCGGAGCAAATCCATTTGATGGAGTCAGGTTAATTATCCAAGTCATCTTGAAAACATTCTTCTTCCAAATGTTGGCTACATATTACGTGTTTTTTCTCTGGCCAGAAGTTCGATGGCAAATCCTCCCTCTTCAAGTTGGCGATCCAACGACCAACCCGTCCGTGGAGGATCAGGAATCAGAAAGGTGGAATAACTCTTTTTTTTTTCACTTTTCCCCGATGTATTCCAGCATCCAGCTGCCATGCACGTGGGCATTGTCAGTTTCACTATAGCTCTGGTGAATTTCAATGGTGAAGTCCTCTGGAAATCTTCAATAATTGTTGTTGATTGCAGATGTGTCTAGTAGTTCCCATTGATTTAGCTTGGAAAGCGGGGAGAATGGCGCTAGGCTTACCGCACCGTGACGTCACTGCTGGAAGATGGCAGGAGGGAGCAAAAATGGCTGCTCCCAGACTCAGTGATTGCCACGAAAATTATTGTTTTTATTTTTTTTCTTGCTTAACGCTAAATTCATTAAATCACTGCAAACGTATTTGTTTTAGGTATAAATAATGATCCATTGATTATTCCTTGCTGTACGGACTTTTCCTTTAATACATGTTTAAATATGGTCAAAAACTATAAATTAATCAATCTGTGGCTTGTTGATTGAATTTTTCTCATCTTGCCTTAGAGAAGAAATTAGCGAATCTTTAGTTGGCTTCATCCAAGTAACACACAGAAGATTAGGTGGAAGAGTTTCTCTGTCCATGAAGTGAGGCAGAAGAGTAGGAGAAGCAAGAGGGCTGGTAAAATGTGGCGTTGGTCTTTCCCTGAGTTTTATAGTTGTGCTTCCCGTGGCGTTCCTTAATCCCCGCTACCACTGACTGTCGGGCAAAGAGGACTCCTGAAAGGACAAAGAGAAACGTGTCAGATTTACTATGTGATCTATTACAGATCACATAAATTTACTATGTGATCTGTTAGTAGGGGAATGTTTTCCATTCAATTGAACATAGATTAAAAAATATATGATCACCCTTCTGAAGTTCCAACTTTCTACAAACAAAAGTATACACATATTAGAGAATAGAAGGGGTGCTAAAAAGTCATCAGATTAAATCTATCTTCCCCTGAAGGTGCTGCAACTCTAGTGCTTAGGTCAGGGGTGTCAAGCTGGTTCCAGAAAGGGCCGTGTGGCTGCAGGTTTTCTTTCCAACCCAGCAAGAGCACACCAGACTCCATTCACGACCCTTTCTGGAACCAGTTTGACATCCCTGAGTTTAGATGATTGAAGAGGCCATACTGTCCAGGGTCGAATGTTTAATTCACATGGTTACATGTGAACAGGTCCTTGGTAATGCTTTAGGCAAAGAGAAGCTCAAAAGTCATTGTGATAAAAATGACAACAAGGCTTTGTTATGGCGAAGGCTATGCTGGACCCAGGCCCGGGGGTTGGTTCTGTTAGGAAAGAGCCTGTTGGGAGGGTTACTTCATGCAGGACTGATCTGGGCCAAGAGCTGCGAGGCCATCTGTGAGCCAATGCTTTACCTTGAACCAAAGACTAAGACTCAACTTTATTTATCCCAAAGGATTACTCTGTTCACATATGAAGTCCTTTTAATTTATTTATGAATTCATATTAAACATTGAATATTTGATAGTTGAACTAAAGGCTGTATTTAAAGTTCTAGTAACACTGGAAAAAAATCGAAATCTAGAAGTAATTTTTTCTTAAAATTAGTGCATTTTTTCTTGGACTTAGGTGGTTAAAGAGACATCTTGCCAATGGAAGAAGACAATTTATACTTAAAATAAGGAAACACAATTACATTGTCTTATTATAAGTCATATTATCTAATTATCTTATTTTAAGAATAAAAATACTCATTCCATTGGCAAACTTTGTCAAATACCTACTCAAATTAAGGGTAAATACAGTTAATTTAGGAAATGTTCACTTATTTCTAGAGTGTTTTTCCAGTGAAGAAGACTAGGACTGAAACAATTAATAAGATTTAATAATCTGATTAAGTAATTAACTAATTTAGAAATTGATTAATTGTTATCTGCTGTATGGACACTGTAAAATATGTCTTTAGCTGACAGAACGACCCACTTTGAGCAGTAATTATACCAAAATTGTAAAATAAATAAATAAATAAACATTTTACATTTAAAATTTGAAAAAAAAAAAACTTTTTCTTCTGTCAACTTGCTCTTTCCAGAATTCCTCAAGTGGAAAAGTTTCACCTGGTTTAAAGGCACACTATGCAACATTTTTCAGTTAATTAATGTGTTCCATAACGTTATGGATGATTAAATGAGTCATTTCAGGTTGAACAAAGGTATTCCCGGCCGCCCTGGTGGTCTGTGGGGGAAATACCGCACTTGCAACTGCAGGAGCACCGACCCGCACCCACAGGCTCAGAAGTCTCGTGAGAGTCAGTCTTGCTTTACGGCGAGAACTGCTACACCCCCCAGTTAAAAGCATTCTCGTTGCTAGCACAGTGGCGATCTTTGTGCAGTTATGCTACGTTCACGCAGCAAAAGCAGCAAAATCGCGTCTGCTGCTTCATTTTTGCTGCTTGTACCAGTTAGTTCTGACGCGGCTGAAGCAGCTTTGCTGCTCTGGCTGCGCGGTGCAAAAGTGTGTCTGACGCGCGTTGGGCGGAGCTTCACTATCCTTTCTCTGCCTTGCAGCTATATTTGCTGTGATCAGTGGGGATAAAGTAGTTTTAATATGTGTTTAAGTGAGAAAATACACCTGAAAACGTAATCAGTGCCGTCAGTTCATTCAGATTATTATCCTGCCTTCAATATTTTTTCTGTCGGAGCCGCTCAGACCCCCACATACCAGGGATGCGCCGAAAGTAGGGATCCCTTCATCAGCAGCCTCTGGCCGGGTTGCCTCCTCGCGGTTCACCACGGCAGCTGGTAGGTGTTTTTCATCTAAATAATCCAAACTGCATATTCTGCTGGCAGATTTCTGCATTTTAAGTTAATTTAGGCGTCAATAAAAGAGGATTGATCATCAGCGCTGTGTCTCTCTCCCTGCGTCAGATGCTTAGCCCGACGCCCGACGCGCTGCTTCAGCTGCTCAGACGTGCTGCGCCTGCAGCTCAAAACGCGCCGCGGGACCTTTTGCTGCGCCTTGACGCGCGTCAACCATTGACTTTGCATGTAAATTCGCTGCTTCTGTCGCGCCAGCTACGTCCAGTGTGAACGCAGCATTAGTCATTCGCTGCTAAGCTCAAAACAACCGCGCCTGGCTTGACGGAGAAACCAGGAGAACGGCTGTGCATATTTACGACAGTGCACTTTTACTTTCGCCCTCTGGGGGGAGCCTCGCTGGAAAATCAACACCGGTTGCATAGTGTACCTTTAATTTTGTAAAACAAATCTTCTTTAAGGAACCTTTTGCTATCAGATTATTGACTGATTTATCAAAGAAAAAATAAACAACAGATTAATAATCGTTAGTTGCAGCCTTAAACAAGACATTCATCAAAAAAATCATTGAAATTTTAGACAATAAAAAGTAACAGCGTCGTTACTTTGCCCAGTTACTAGTTATATTATTTTGCAGTTGCTGTTACTAACTTAGTTACTTTTTTGGAGAAGTTACTATTACTTTTAACTAATTATTTTAGGTAAAACAGATTAAAAGCAGCTAAAATGAGCTCACAGCTAAAGGTCACAGCTCCATTCTCATAAAGGGTGATAATTTAATTCAGTTTCCATTAAAAAATGTTATTTCTGTGCAGGAATAAAGGGTTATGAAGAATTTTATTTTTTTGTGTATTCTACAATAACTTAGACAGGAAGTGAGTGTGTGACTGGTTAAATGCAGCGCCCCCTGCTGGTGTATCTACGATTTGCTGAAAGTCAGTGGTAGTCAAAGAAGAACAGCTTAGTTGTCCAAATTCCTGCAGACTGACTCAACTTGATCATTTTATGCTGTGGTGACACAAATGTAACGCCATAGTGCAGTTTTGAAATCTGCAAAAGCATTTTTCTCATCTCAGACAGTAGAGAAAACTAGTGAGTAAAAAATTAAAATAATTTGTTTATGTTGCAAGCAGCTGCAATAAGCCGAGCGGTATGATTTGACCAGCGAGGAATCAGATTGGCAGGCTGCTGCTTGACTGCATCCAGCATCGATTGGGTCAGCAGAAGGCCACCATTTTAGAGCTGAGGCTTTTCACTGAAGTCGACACAATGAAATAAGCCAATCAAACCGAAAAAACCTTTTCATTACATTTCTTCTTATATAATAAAAAGCAGAACAGATTTTTTTTTAAACACTGGAAAGAAAAACTCACTGAAGTCTGAACTCTGAAATTATTGGCAAGATGTTTGAAGAAAAATGTAGCTCTATGTCTCATACCTTTAAATTAAAGGTATAAGATAATTATTAAAATGAACAATTACATAATTAAATGTCCAATAAATAAATGTATTAATAATTTCAAAATGTTATATTATAATTAACTGTAATTAAATAATGTTTCTTTGGAATTTATATAAATACTTCTATTTACATTTATAAATCCCTTTATAGGGCACTCAGTTAAATATTAAATAATTGTGGTTAATGTAATAACAAGAAAAGGCCACTTTCCCTAATATATTAAGAAAAAAAATAATAGCGCTTCTATAAGAAATTCATTAAAAACACTTTTTTTTTTATTACAACATAACCTTAAAGTATTAATGCTGATACAGGCACTTCATTTCTTTTTCCCTTAGCTTATTACATTTTTTACTTTACTTTTTAACTTTTCAATTAGCTTTTTACATTTTTTTTTAACTTGTTAACTTTTTTTTTTCAACTTAATTTACAGTAGGTAATATATCATTCAATAACTCATCTAATTTGTCAAATGCCAAAATAAGATGAACAGCCATGTAGCAGCATCTTTGCTGAATGGCTGGATTTAGATCTTGTGCTTCTAGACTTCATTGAGGGACAGGGGGGACTCCATTTGTAAGGGGTATGCAAGTGATAAAAAATGGTTACCTGCCCAATAAAGGGATAAATTATCAGAGTGAAGTAATTATGTATGATAGATATGTGTTTTTAAGGGTCAGTTGCATTATTTTTTGTTAAATACTTAAATAATGTGCCTAAGTTGTGAGCAGATTATGTATAAATGTGTGAGCATTGTTAGTGTGGCTGGGTGTAAAAGGTTTGCATGTCCAGCAGCTTAATATAAACCATTTATTCTTTTAAAAAATCCAGCTGATAGTAAAGTCTAATGTAAATAAACTAGGGCTGAAACAATTAATCAGATTAATCAATTATTAAAATAATCTATTCACTAATTTAGTAATCGAATAATCGTTAACTAGAGTATAGAGAGGGTAAAACAAGCCTTTAGCTGTCAGAGTGACCCACTTAGAGCAGGGATTATATCAAAATTGTAAAACAATATACAAACATTTTGCATTGAAGTAACGTTTTACCTGGTTGGATATCATAAAAAAAATCTTCTTTAAGGAACCTTTGTCTATCTGATTAATAATCAATTAAACAACAGATTAACAGATTTGCAAAATAATCGTCAGTTGCAGCCCTAAAATAAAACTGAAATAGAAACAAAAAGGAAAAATAACCACTGCCTTTCTCTACAAGAGAAGTACTGTCATGAAAACACATTTAGACTGATCGAGTCTGATGCTCTGTTGTAGGAATCGTGTTTGTGTTCTCATCCTGTTACCTCACAGACTCTTAGCTGCCATCATCAACCCAACAGTTAAGTCTGAGCAACCAGAACGCTAATCGATATCTATTTCAGCTAGAAGCTGATCAAACCTTCTGTCAGATTTAGGCAGAGATAAAGTAGCTCTTATAAACAACACTGTTCTTAAAAAAGACGGATTGCATTTGAAAAGTAGAAGACCAGAAAAATCTCTTTCTCTCTCTCTCACACACAGCTACCAAACCCCATCGACCGGAAATCCAAAGGTCCAATTTTAAGATTTCTAACTTTTTAAACTCTATAGGCCTGCCACTTCATCACACTGGATTTTATAGAAAAGACATCAAATTGTGTAAAGGACTCGGCACTTGGATGCTGCTATAACTTATTGAGTTTCCTCCCTGCAATTACACCAGCAAATGACCCATCTATTTACCTGTGTAGACAACTCCATTTATTTCTATTGACATGTTGATGCTGTTAATGCCGTTGGTAGACAGGTTCAATGCGGACTCTTGTCTATCATCTGTCAGGAGAGAAAGCACAGAGGGAGAGAGGAAAACTCGATATGAGCATTTAGAAAAAGGAATAGAAAAAGCAGGAGCAGTATTGGGGAGATTTTGGAGAGTGACAGGATAAGAGCTTTATTAAGTGTTAGAGGAAGAAAAGTAAAAACAGGCAGAGTTCAGACATTTGTGTGTGTGAATTATGGATTACCTTTATCATAAGACTTGGACAAATTTCTTAGCCAATTATCAATTAAACAACAGTTTGAAACAGATGAGGCCCAGCAGAGAATAGATATGGTTATTACATCCATATAAAGCGCTATAAGCCAATAAAGAATCTAACTAAATGAAATTATAGAACCTGTGGTATCAACCCTCCTGTAGAATTACTCCCACTGTAAACACAAAATATGCCTATAATTAAATATTTAAGCATATTGTAATAATCAAAAATATATAACCTGAGTTTGCATAATATGATATGAAAAGTCGACTTTCAGGGTCTCTTTCTTAAATTTTACGCTTCCATCAAAGAACAGCACTCCTCTGTTTTTATGTCACACTTTTCCCACAACATAAAAGGATTTTAATGTAATCAACCAATTAATTCTCCAACGTGATTAGATCGGTGTAAAATTAATACAAACAGAGAGGTAGATAAAGCTGAATGCTTAATGTCCTGATTATACAGACAGTGGACAGCATTACCCAGCATGCTCTGCTTTGCGTGGACTCCAAAGGTCTTCTCTGCTCAGAGGCCTGCTAAGGCGCAGCTCGTCTCCTATTGATTGAAGCACAGCGGCTTCCACAGCGGATCCTTTTTGCTTCTTAGCCTTTTTGAAGAAGGTTTTATTTTTCTCTGTTGTGCCGTTTAATGGACACAACTAACAGAATTTACGATTTAGCGATAAGAATATATAGAGATATTAAATACTGTCAATTATTGATTATTTATATCAATCTAAATGACCTTTTCATGACAATGAGAATTAAACAGTGCTTTTATTGCAATCTAACATTGTTTTTTTACGGCTTAAAATGGTTTACAATGGAGACAAAGCAAAGAGGATCACTGTCTGTCACAAAAGAAGCCTTATATCCTGATGTCAATTAGCTAACTCAAATTTAAACATCCCGGCTACCATAACCTGATTAACAGAAACCAATTAGCCAATTCTAATAATCAAATATCACTTTACCACTGGCTGAAAAAACCCACTGGTTTAATTTAGCAAAAAGTCTTCTTTAAAGAGTATTTGGCTATCAGTTTATTAATTAAAAAATAATTGACAGCTGACGGCCTTTGTTGGACCTGGGTCAATATAACCGGGTACACCATCATACATATTTTGTGCCCAAATTGTAATCCTAGCCTAATTAATTCCTTTTTATATTGTGTTACATTTAAACTTAAATCTTGATTAATCAATGAAGGGAATAAACAGGGGAATCTAAACGCAAATATTTGGTAAAATCTTCTCAAAATGTACATTTTTGAATATTTTACTGAGCTAAATCACTATGACTGACTTGCTTGCAGTAAGAATCATTATTATATTTTAGGCTAATATTGCTGCCTTTTATGAACTAAATTTATGGCACCTTTGGGTTTCCATACTTGTTCCGGTTTTCTGCAGCTGCTTGTGTGGCATTTGAGATTTGAGCTCAGGAAATGTTATGGTTAAAACCTTTCTTCAGTGGCTGAGGTTCTACAGCAGGATTGTTTTATTCACTTAACTTAACCTCCCCCCTTTGTCAGGATCATGGTTCTAAGGACTGACCTAATTGCTAATTTCACTCACCTGCCTAACTCTGCCCGGTTTCCAATTTATACTCACCTAATCCACCTGCTCCTGCTTCTATATATATACAGGTGCTGGTCATAAAATTAGAATATCATGAAAAAGTAGATTGATTTCAGTAATTCCATTTAAAAAGTGAAACTTGTATATTATATTCATACATTACATACAAACTCATATATTTCAGATGTTTATTTTGTTTAATTTTGATGATTACAAATGACAACAAATGAAAATCTCAAATTCATCATATCAGAAAATTAGAATATTGTGAAAAGGTTCAAAATTGATGGCCCCTGGTGCCACACTCTAATCAGCTAATTAACTCAAACCACCTGCAAAAGCCTTTAAATGGTCTTTCAGTCTAGTTCTATAGGCTACACAATCATGGGGAAGACTGCTGACTTGACAGTTGTCCAAAAGACGACCATCGACACCTTGCACAAGGAGGGCAAGACACAAAAGGTCATCGCTAAAGAGGCTGGCTGTTCACAGAGCTCAGTGTCCAAGCACATTAATAGAGAGGCGAAGGGAAGGAAAAGATGTGGTCGAAAAAAGTGTACAAGCAAGAGAGATAACCGCACCCTGGAGAGGATTGTGAAACAAAACCCATTCAAAAATGTGGGGGAGATTCACAAAGAGTGGACTGCAGCTGGAGTGAGTGCTTCAAGAACCACCACACACAGACGTATGAAAGACATGGGTTTCTGCTGTCGCATTCCTTGTGTCAAGCCACTCTTGAACCACAGACAGCGTCAGAAGCGTCTTGCCTGGGCTAAAGAGAAACAGGACTGGACTGCTGGTGAGTGGTCCAAAGTCATGTTCTCTGATGAAAGTAAATTTTGCATTTCCTTTGGAAATCAAGGTCCCAGAGTCTGGAGGAAAAGAAGAGAGGCACTTCATCCACGTTGCTTGAAGTCCAGTGTAAAGTTTCCACAGTCAGTGATGGTTTGGGGTGCCATGTCATCTGCTGGTGTTGGTCCATTGTGTTTTCTGAGGTCCAGGGTCAACGCAGCCACATACCAGGAAGTTTTAGAGCACTTCATGCTTCCTGCAGCTGACCAACTTTTTGGAGATGCAGATTTCATTTTCCAACAGGACTTGGCACCTGCACACAGTGCCAAAGCTACCAGTACCTGGTTGAAGGACCATGGTATCCCTGTTCTTAATTGGCCAGCAAACTCTCCTGACCTTAACCCCATAGAAAATCTATGGGGTATTGTGAAGAAGAAGATGCAATACACCAGACCCAACAATTCAGAAGAGCTAAAAGCCACTATTAGAGCAACCTGGGCTATCATAACACCTGAGCAGTGCCACAGACTGATCGACTCCATGCCACGCCGCATTGCTGCAGTAATACAGGCCAAAGGAGGCCCAACTAAATACTGAGTGCTGTACATGCTCATACTTTTCATGTTCATACTTTTCAGTTGGCCAACATTTCTATAAATCCTTTGTTTTTATTGGTCTTCAGTAATATTCTAATTTTCTGATATGATGAATTTGAGATTTTCATTTGTTGTCATTTGTAATCATCAAAATTAAACAAAATAAACATCTGAAATATATGAGTTTGTATGTAATGTATGAATATAATATACAAGTTTCACTTTTTAAATGGAATTACTGAAATCAATCTACTTTTTCATGATATTCTAATTTTATGACCAGCACCTGTACAGCTCAATCCCAGCTATCAGGGCCAGATCGTTGAGTTTGGACTCCTGGAAATCTGAACCAGCCTGTTCCTTTTATGTTCTGTTTCCCTGACCTGGCTCGGACTCTAATTTTCTAATTTAGACTCATAGCCCGAATTACTAAATTGGTGAAAGACGACTGGATTTTTGACAGCTGGTTTCAGAGGTCTAACCTTTTAGGAAAGGGGCTAAAACCCTGGTCAGTAAGCAAATTACAGTTATAATCATTCAACTGATGATAAATAACTAGCTTTACCCTTCATTTGAATGACCTATTAATTAACTAACTGCTATTTCTAGTTATTTAATATATTCATAATCTTCTGGTAAGCTGGCACAACAGACCAGTCCTGATTATATCTTCATATAGCAAAGAAACACAACTATGGAGGACCCGGAGAGTCACAAAAAAAAATGCAACCATTTTAAATTTAACATCTAAATCATATTCAATTGTGAAGTCAATTGCATGATGATACAATTAGAAATCCGGGATGAAGACTACTCTAATCCTTTTCTAGGTTACTTATCCATTCACACTGAGCCTCGTTCCGGTTCTGCTGGAGGTTTCTTGTTAAAAGCAAGTTTTCCTCTCCACTGTCGCTACAAACATGCTCAGTGAGAGGGATTGAGAAGAGTCAATGTGTCCTCGCAATCAGCTGGTTTTCCTTAGAAATATTTTAAAGAATATGATCGTGCTACCTGTATAAATAAGTTAAATATTTTCTAATTAAAACTTTTCTCTGTGTGTCTCTCCAGGTTGAAAGTTTAATTATATGGTCTCCTATAATATATGATTTTTAATAAACTCTCTAACATGGAATCAGACATATATCTCTCTCTCTCTCTCTATATATATATATATATATATATATATATATATATATATATATATATATATATATATATATATATATATATATATATGACATTGTATGTATATATATATATATATATATATATATATATATATATATATATATATATATATATATATATATATATATATATACATATATATATATATCAATGTCAATAATTAGATGAACTACAAATTTTCACAAAAACAGACCGCATCTGTAGAATGTAAGGTAATATGTCATATATATTATAGTCACAATAAATAAGTGATAAACCATCTCTCTGTCTGCTTTATCATAATAAACTGAGTTGTACTTTGGTACTTAATTAATCTCAGCAATATTTGAGATAAATCAATTCCAGAAAATCAATGACCAGATGCAGATAGGCTATACATATAGATCATAGTACTAGGCAGACTTTTATTTATCTGTTCCAGAATTGTAAACATACTGATGTGCTCCTCTGGGAAGCGCATCACATTGCCCTTAACTTCCAAATATATATTCTCTGCTATTACCAAATTAATTTTCTTAGCCTTAACAGAGAAAAAGTTCCAGCACAAGGCAGAGCACTACTCTGAGTAAAAGATCACCCTAAAACATCCCTTTTAATGGCATACAGATAGCAAAACAAAGAAACATTTCTGAGTGAAACTCATCAGTACCAGCTGCCTTCACCTTGGTGGCTCCATGGTTTGCAGTATCCTGGCTTGTTTAGTTGTCTAACAAATCCATTAAGTGACGACCATTACTGTTGATTATCTCTGACTCCTCTGATGTCTGGCTAGACCAGAGCTGCAAAAACTTTTAAAATCTTATAGCCTCCTAAAGGGCTCCAACTGTATATTAGCTCACTGTCAAGTGACTAAGTAGGCCTAAATACATAATAAGCATTCATGATTATATTTTTATTTCCCTTGCAGTGCATCCTAGAGAAAATACCACACCATGTGGCTAATCTGCAGTATTATTTTTTTTGCATTCATCTGAATTATGGAAATACAATAAAGAAATCAGTTTTTTGTGTATCGCAGGCTATGACGCAAATCTTTCTTGATAGGAATGTTTACATTTATTTATTGTACAAACTTTTACAGCATTGGAAAGCATCCCTTTTTTTCCATTTTCATGAATTTTAAAAAAGCTTCAGTGAGCCACAAGGGCGGCGCTAAAGTGCGACCTGCAGCTCTGCAGGGCCCCGATCCAGCACTAAAATGGTGGTATCAGTATCAGCGAGTACCAACAAATAGGGCATCAATACCATTTTAAGAGCCAAAAGTTTATTCAACTTTTGACACCCATTCCAGGTAGGCAATAAAAAGTTCTACTGGATTCACTTTGTCTTAGTCTTTTTCGAGCTTCACAAAGGTAGGCAGCAGCCTGACAAAGCCATGATGGCAATTATTTTACATCCTAGTAGTCTGCAGTTCTTCAGATATACACACACATCAATTTCAAACAGATGGTGTCGATATGGTATCGGTATCGGCCAATACTGCACAGCCAGGTATCGAATCGGGGCGAAAAAATGGCATCGGTGCAACACTAGTTATATCTAACCTAAACTTGCTGTACACTGGATGTCTGGTTAGACCTAATGTAGGCCTACCTACAGTATAATTCCAGGGGCCTGACCCATTTTGAGACTCTTTATTTTATTTGTAGATAGCAAATTTTAATCCTGATTCACAGTAAAATGAATATTAAATCTCAAAGTAATTCCACTTTAAAGATGGTAGTTTTGTGATTTAAGTAAGATTGTAGTTCACTCCAGTTGATTTTTTTAAAAGGTTTTTTTAGGGGCGAGGAAACTAAGCATAGTTGCATCCATTCGACTGTGGTTTAAACAACATCCTGCTTTCCAAATCAGAGTCTGTGGCACATTAGTTGTGGTCTTTGTTCTGTTTTATCGTTCTTTTCATTTCTTCTGTTGGGCATTTTGAACATTCAATAATAAACAAATAAACAACAAATTAATAGGGATGCACGATATTGGGATTTTGGCCGATATCCGATATGCCGATATTTAAAAACTCATGCAGCCGATAACCGATATCGATACCGATGTTAAAGCTGGACAAAAATACGTAGTCATTGAAAATAGCAGTTTTGTTATGCATTTGTGACACTTTGAAAAATAATATACTCAAATATATTTTTATATCATCAACATATAAAAATATGGCAACATTTTGTGAATTTTCGGGGGATTTCGTAGCATAACGATGACATATAGCAATATTTCATTAGTAAAAGAGATTGATATGGTGTTTTTAAATGGCAATATATCAGCATATGAAGATATTGGGATATTTTAATGTATCAATATTTTTTCCCTCGTCTTTAGAAGTTTTTAAGTCTGTAAAAAAGAAGTTTTTGAGGAAGAAGAAGAAGTAGTATTTATTTTTTTTTTTTAGACTTTAGAAACTCAGAAGCTGATCAAATATCGGGTTAAATATCGGTGGGGTGGCCGATGTCCGATATTCAGTTTTAAGGCCGATACCGATAGGGGGCCCATTATATCGTGCATCCCTACAAATTAACATGACTTTCTAGGTCAGAATTACTTCCTCTGACCTCTACAATTACTAAATTTACCAACAGAATATCTTTACATTCCTAATTACAAAGACAATTTACTAATGCTACGTATTTGGGCGAAAAATATAGTCTTAAAGTGGGACATAAGAGTTCATACGCTACATCTGAGGTGGAAAAGTGCTGAAATCAAGTAAATCCAAGTCTTAGATCTTTTCGTGCCTTCGAATAAAAGAAAAAAAACAATCCATCCATCCATTTTCTAACACACTTAATCCCAAGTGGGGGGGTGCTGGTGTCTGTCTCCAGCTGTCAATGGGCGAGAGGCGAGGTCCACCCTGGACAGGTCGCCAGTCCATCGCAGGACAACACAGAGACAAACAACCATTCACCCACACACTCACACCTAAGGAGAATTTAGAGAAGCTAATTTACCTAACAGTGATGTTTTTTGGACTGTGGGAGGAAGCTGGAGTACCTGGAGAGAACCCTCGCATGCTCAAGGAGAACATGCAAACTCCATGCAGAAAGACCCTGGGCTGGGAATCCAACCTGGAACCTTCTTGCTGCAAGGCAGCCCAATGAGCAGCCCAAAACAAACCCAATCCACACAAGAAATTAAAAACACTTTCTAGCCAAAGTTGATAAAAAAAGTTCTCACCTCTGTCATTGAGTTTGATGCTTAGAGGAGCCTGGGTTGCCAGTGCGATCAGGTTCTGCTGAAGTGCCTGCTCCATTATCCTCTGCTCCTCTTCAGTAACCTTAATCATTTTGTTTTGTGTTGGTTCACAGCTTTCAAACTTTGAAAGATGCTCCAGAGCCGCTGACTGAGCCCCTGCTGCCTGGGCTCCCAAGGCTGCCATATGGTGCTCACTGGGTGAGATGGGGAGGGCCATCCTACTTGGCAGGCCGTTGACTATCCCAAGCTCCTCTGTAGAGATTACCATTGAAAAGAAGAGTCAGATTCAGAGTCAAAAAGCCCAAAGCAGAGCAAATGAACGCTCTGAGCCTTACAGGTGAACGTAGCTCTGGCCCAACCAGCCCCATCCCTGTTAAAACTCCGCTCAGTCAGAGTAAGAAATGTCTACGATGTCCTGGGCCCTCAGAAAACTCGCCAGTAGGACTGAACTGACCCGTTTACCCTCTCAACACTGCACTGGTTTGCAGTAACCAGGAAAGTACTCAATGCCAAAGCTAGAAGAAACGTCTGATGAATCTAGGCTGCTTTTCTTTTCAGAAATATGCTTCTACAAATTAATTATTCTACGCTAAGATGTAAATTAAATATTAAGGAATGGAACGGACAGACTTCTTTAAACACATCACAATACCTCACCCAATATCTGTGACTGTAACCGGATGGCTGGGACAGCAGAAACCCAGACTTCCCTCTACCCAGACCTCACCTCTAGCTCCACTCAGAAGCTGAAGGTAATCCAAAGCCTACTTTGGTAAAACGATTTACCTGATTCAACCTAACAATGATGATGCCTGTAAATGGCAGTGGCGTTTCTATAGCAGCCATACTGACCTACTGAATCTGCCTCATTCTCCCTTCTCTTGTCAGCAAGGCCCCAGGATACCTGGACTTCTCCAGTTAAAGGTACACTATGCAACCGGTGTTGATTTTCCAGCGAGGCTCCCCCCAGAGGGCGAAAGTAAAAGTGCACTGTCGTAAATATGCACAGCTGTTCTCCTGGTTTCTCCGTCAAGCCAGGCGCGGTTGTTTTGAGCTTAGCAGACAGGCGAATGCAACGAATGACTAAGCATCTGACGCGCCGCAAACGCGCTGCTGCTCGAGATGGAAAAATTGAATTTTTGCTGCTCGACACGCCACGTCAACCAATCAGAGAAGCTGATCTGGGAGCTGGCAGGGAGAGAGACATAGCGCTGATGATCACTCCTCTTAAACAGTTTATTGACGCCTAAATTAACTTAAAATGCAGAAATCTGCCGGCAGAATATGTTCGCTTTTATTATCCTACCAGCCACCGCGGTGAACCGCGAGGAGGCGACCCGGCCAGAGGCTGCTGATGAAGGGATTCCTACTGTCGGTGCACCGCTGGTATGTGGGGGTCTGAGCGGCTCCGACAGAAAAAATATTGTAAGGCAGGCTGATAATCTGAATGAACTGACGGCACTGATTACGTTTTCAGGTGTATTTTCTCACTTAAAAACATATTAAAACTACTTTATTCCCACTGATCACAGCAAATATAGCTGCAAGGCAGAGAAAGGATAGTGAAGCTCCGCCCAACGCGCGTCAGACACACTTTTGCACCACGCAGCCAGAGCAGCAAAGCTGCTTCAGCCGCGCGTCAGAACTAACTGGTACAAGCAGCAAAAATGAAGCAGCAGACGCGATTTTGCTGCTTTTGCTGCGTCCGGTGTGAACGCAGCACTGCACAAAGATCGCCACTGTGCTAGCAACGAGCATGCTTTTAACTTGGGGGTGTAGCAGTCCTCGCCGTAAAGCAAGACCGACTCTCGCGAGACTTCTGAGCCTGTGGGTGCGGGTCGGTGCTCCTGCAATTGCAAGTGCGGTATTTCCCCCACAGACCATCAGGGCGGCCGAGAAAACCTTTGTTCAACCTGAAATGACTCATTTAATCATCCAAAACGTTATGGAACACATTAATTAACTGAAAAATGTTGCATAGTGTGCCTTTAAAGCAGGAACTCTCCTCCAAATGCCTAACAGATGTTTTGCTTTTTTGGTCCATAGTTTTTGATCATAGTTGTTATTAATAGTATAGATTCTTATATAGAACAAATCTGAAACTGAATTAGTGAAAAATGTTTTAACGCTCATTGTGCCGATCCATTTTGGATAGGTTAGCATGCTTGATTGACTGCAAAAACTTTGTAACTTGATGCCAACATTGTTATTCTAAATCAAGACAACCCTGTGAGTAAAAGTCCCATATAAGTAGTTCCTTTATGGCAGATTTTGGCTTGATTTCAGAACTAAACCATCCATCCATCTATCTTCTTTCACTTATCAGGGGTTGGGTCGTGGGGGTAGCAGCTTCAGTAGGGAGGCCCAGACGTCCCTCTCCCCAGTCACTTGGGCCAGCTCCTCGGGGGGAATCCCAAGGTGCTCCCAGGCCAGCCTAGAAACATAGTCCCTCCAGCCTGTCCTGAGCCTCCTCCCGGTGGGACGTGCCTGGAACCCCTCACCAGGGAGACGTCCCAAAGGCATCCTACCCAGATACCCGAGCTACCTCAACTGGCTCCTCTCAACATGGAGGAGCAGTGGCTCTACTCTGAGTCCTCCTAGGATGACTGAGCTGCTGACCCTATCTCTAAGGGAGAGCCCAGGCTAATTTTGGCCGCTTATATCCGATATCTCGTTCTTTCGGTCATGACTCAAAGCTCATGACCATAAATGAGAATAGAAATGTAGGTTGACCGGTAAATGGAGAGCTTTGCCTTATGGCTCAGCTCTCTCTTTACCAAAACAGACCGGTACAGCGCACGCTTCACAGCAGACACCGTAGATCTCCCGCTCCATCTTCCACTCAGAGCTAAACACTACGGTTAAATATTAGTTTTTAAATGCATCTATCCAGCTGTAGGGTTTGAATCTGAACTGTTAAAGTATATAAGTGATATTTTCTATCTCAAGCCAGCCTCAGAATGGTCCACACATCATTATCTTACCTTTTTTGACCATAGGTGATTGAGAAATACAGCTGCTTTGATGGGATAGCGTCGGCACATGTGGTAGTATTTTTGGTGTTGGAAGGAGACTTTGTGAGCCAGTGGTTGAGTAGCTGAAGATGGCAGACGTGTAGTTCTGTCTTCGGCTCTCTCGACGGTTGCTATCAATTGCTGCTTGAAGTTCCCCCGGGGAGCTCAGTCCCCGCTTTTCACATTCATATGGATAAAGGTACTTCATATACCTGCAGCAAAAATAAAACCTTTTTCATTGAGCAATAAAATATTTAGATACTTTATTCGTACCATAATTAGCAGCATTGGTCTTTCAATTTACCTTCCAGTTTCTGCTATGGTTCCAAAGCATATTTCATGATATTTTAAAGCCACAAAACCTATTTTTCGACACAATCACAGTCCACCTTTCTGTTTTTAAATGTAATTAAGCCATTTCAGCAGATCCCTGGAAATACATCAGACATCTCGGCCCAGAAGAGTGCAGTTCTAGGAACAGCAGACTTACTGGCAGAACCCTCAATCTCCCAGGCCTCTGGTAGTGGACCCCAGCTTGAAGAAAAAAAAAGGGGGGAGACTGTCCGCGATGGGTGGTGTTATTTTTTATTTTTATAACTATACTCTAAAAGTATTTTAAAATACTGTAAACATGTTCACAGCTGTATATTGATTATCTATTCTTTAGATGCACAGTACTTATATTTGTAAAAACACTGTAAGTACAGGGTTTTATTTATTTTATTTTTTTTATATTTTTTTATTCATATTTTATGTGGATGCTATTTTTACCCATATTTTAGCTGTTTTGTTTTTTATTTATACTGTTTTATGTTTTATTTATTTTTCTTTTAGCACTTTATTCAGCTGTGTTTGTTTTTAAGTGCTTAACAAATAAAATTGAATTGTATATTTTTTTACTTCTGTCACTTATTCTATTATTTTTATGAACTTTTTAACGTCCACATTTGTGTGACCACTTTTGCTGTAATCTTTTGCTGCTGTAACAGCACAATGTACCCATTGTTGGACTGTGGGATTGCCTTCACAAAATTATCACTCGAGCCATGATGTCAACATTCTGTTAATTTAAACGAAAATATATACGCTGCAGTGCTGAAGCATCCTTTTTCTGTTCTACTTAAAGCAGCAGGTTAGGGTAGCAGGTTGACCTACCCAAGATGGTGCCCGTGATTTCTGCCTGTGACAGTCAATGTAGGGTCTACTCTTATATATGTCTATGGAAGGTTCTGCAGCCTAGATTTACTCTGACAGTATCATGACCCCATTATTAACAGAGAAGGAAGGGAAGAAAAATATTAACAGCACTTAAACTAAAAATATAAATTTTTCAGAGGTTTTTCTCCTTATTTTTCTCAGGGTTCCTTGAAAACCACTGAACAGTTGCTCAAACATATCAATAATCAGTCCAGGTTCTACATTTATTCAGATTTAAATTCTAACATCACATTAAAAAAACAACATGCCTTCATCTGTTAAACTATAATCCGACATATTGTCGTACAACTGTAGTATTTAACAGGAAGTATCCCTTATGAAGACCTGTGTCAGAGCGGTGGTTAAAGGGCAGCCGTTGGTCATACTCACTGTGTTCGCAGAGTAAATGCTGCACTAGTAATAGACGTAGGGAGGTGGAGGCCTTTGGTAATCTCACGCCATATCTTTTTATTGATGACTTCCACTAAGCCGCCTTTTTCTGTGACGAGCTTGTAGAGCATGTAGAGATCCAGCACCTGCTTTGCCATGATAGGAATCCGATTCACTGGAGTCCCTGCAGAACGCAAACACAATATCCAGGATCAATTCTATTAACTTGGTTCCTCCCATCAATACCTTTCTGCATCTTCTTATAAGGCCAGTTTATCTTAAGCCAGTCAAATGTCTGACAGCTGTGTTAAAGGAAAAGAGTATAACTTTTTGAAGTTTTTGACACCCTTCCACTGCTTCTGCCTTTGCTAAATTAAACATAGATATGCTGTACTTATATTCTCCAAAAATATGAATCAAATCTGATAACTTATTTAGTTATTGAAGAACAGAAAACAAAAGTAAAAGCTTTGTCTGGAATTTACTTCAGAGCAGTTTGAGACTTTTACGGATATAAAAGTCTAATTTTTGTTAAATAAAGAGGTTCCAATAAATCACATAGGCTATTTAGAGCCGCACATAAAGAGGGAATCCAGGTTTTTTGTAACAATTCTATAGTAGTCGACCCTGAGATAATTAACCTGCATTTGCTGACAGGGTTCCATTGTGGCCATTGGATTTACCATAATAGCAATCAATAGGGGCATGGAAATAGTGCAAACAACAGCAGAGGGGCCCTTACAGTAAGGGAGGAAAGCAGTGAGGAATTGTCTATGGTGGTAAAATTACATCAATTAAAGCCAGTAATTAGGGCTTCATGGGAAGTGAATGAATAAGACTTTATTAACCAAGACTGATGTCCTCCTGTACCTTCAATACAAATCTACCAAAACTGTGAGGCTGCAAACGTCAACATTATTCACTGGAGAGGAGCAAAAAAAAAAAAAAACAATTTGTCACATAGATCACAGAGTTAAAGCTGTAGGAGTCACAATGTCCTGAGACTGACTTGTCCAAACGGACCTTTCTGCTGCCCCTCTACCTGCTGCCTTTAGCTGACTATAAAAGGCTTTAAAAAGCAAAATGTAGGATCTCTTAGAGTAAAAAAATACCAAATCATCCAGGAACTTTACCGGGAAAATGGTTAAACTGTATGGAAAAAAAAACAACAACCCTTAAGCCCAGAGAGTCTTTGGAAAAAATTCCGCCCGAAATTACAGATGTGAATTAAAGCAAGTGCAGATCCCAATCAATAAACTGGAAATACAATTGTTTGTATTTGTATACAGTAACAGAAAGGCACTGAGGAATATTATTCAGTTGGAACCACTATTTTAAATTGTAACGTCATTTATAGTTGATTAAAAAATGAAAAATATTCAGCCTCGCCAAATTTTTTTACAAAATAAATACTGCAAAACACCAGGAAACCCAATTTGAAGGTCTTAAAGAATCTCAAAGTTTATAGATGCACATCTTGACTCTAAGTCAAGCAAATTTGGACTGAATAAGTTGAAGCATGTTTGTTCCACAAAGGTTTTAGTGAGCAGTGTGCTAGGAGGAAATGGGATATTGGCACAGTGCAGAAAGTGGCTATATAATGCAAAAATGCATTTTTTCCACTCAAAGGGAATCTAGTAAGACAAATATGCTTATTTATATTATCGTAGACCTTCTGCATAAGACAAAGCCTTTGGTCCTAAGATTTAGCCGTTGTTTCATTAAAATTTACCAATAATATCACCAAACTGAATAGAAAATAAGAATAAACTGGTGGTTTGGATGTACTTTTCCCCAAGGATTGTTTGAGCTTCTCTCTGAGCAGGGGATTCATCTCCACAAGAAACCGTTCAAGTACCGCAGGAAATCTAAGTGTTAGTCAGCTCCTCCGTTCCTCATAGCAACACCTCAACCTGGTTAAACCCTGTCCGCCCTCCAACGAACAAGTCTATTACTGGAACAACCCACACAGACTGGATTCAACGAAAGGCACCTTTTTTCTGGAAACGTGAGTCTGTTGCCTTTATAACCTTCTTCAAATCAAAGACTCAAATCTCCCTCTGAGCCTGAACTAACCACAGACTCTTCCCTTTCACTTTTCAGTCCCGGTTCGACAGTGTTTAGAGCTGCACTGGACTCCTCTCTACCAACTCACAATAAATCAGTTGAACCTTTCCCTGGCTCTCTGTTTGGCTTTCTGCATGTGGGTCAGATCTTTAGATAAATCATGACACTGTCACTACAATCCACTAACAGAGACGTAAAAAGTCCTCCAGAGGGAATGGACGTTCCGTTGGCATCAACCATTTCATCATAATGAAACTGAGAATAAACTTCTCTTGTCTTAATTTCTCATTATTTAAGGAGCGAGGGCTTCGTAATTGGAACAATGTGGAGCATCAGGATCTCTGTTAGTGCAGTAATCATCTTTATGCTTGGCTTCATCGCTGAGTCTTTCACTTTACACCTCTGAGCCGATAATGGGATGAGAATTTCTCCACCTCATTGACTTCACTCTTTTAACTCATGGGATGAACAATTAATGCAAAGAAACCAGGAAAAACTGACTGTTTATCAAACTCTATTCAACTTCTGATCTGAAGGCAGTGGGGGGGCGTAGAACCAGAAGAAAAACGATCACACCCAGACTGCAGGATTTTTTTCCCTTTTAGTTCCTACAATCTATATTAATCTTATGCAAGCGACTGTTCATAGATATGTTATCATTCTAGACAAACAGTCATCAATGAACACAACACAAAATCCTTACTACAGAACTAAATTAAAGATTGACACTTCTCAGCTAAACGAGTCTGCAGAGTTTGTTCAAACTTACTAAGTGATGTTAATGAATCCAATTTCCTTACACACGGAGCAAGAATTTGGAAAATAGTCTGTGCTATCACTGTGGATAGTTAGAGATGCCATAGGTCCTTTACACAGCCAGAACAGCTTTTATAAATTAAAATAATTCTGTAGCAACTGCACTGCAAAAATGTTCTGAAAATGAGTAAAAATGTCTTTAAATAAGTGTATTTACCCTTAATCTGAATAGGAAAATAAGATTATCTGTCAATAGCAAGAGCACTTTTACAGAAAAATTGGCTCCTCCCTTCAGTGGAATGTCATATTTAAATGTTCATCTGTTCAGAGCAAAGGATTTCACTCTGACTTATTTCTGTGTTCCCAAATCTCAGCAGTTTACACCCTTTGAAACTGTTGAAATCGACTCAATCTCCTCTATGCAAAGTGTCTAACTAAAGTCCATTGAAAATATTCTCCGATATAGAATAGTAAAAGATTAACAAAACAAAACCAGAAACTGTTCTATTATCCAGAGAACCAGTCAATAGTCTGTGTTGAATAGTCAGAATATCTGGACCCCTGACCAGATCCAAAAATGTGCAGGAAAGAAAATTTCTTCCCATATGTGATTTATCTAATGAGCTATCGTATTAAGTCTGCGGTTCTGTCTAATTCACTGATTACAGCTGCAGGTGAAGTAAATTCAGGTGTTCTCGTTGCTTCATGCCTAAAATGTGTGGTTACCCATCCCTATCATTAAAAATATAGCTTCTGTAATGCTAATTCTAAATCAGATTAGGTTAATATTACGCTATAATAAACTCACACATCATCAATGATAATTATCCCAACACCATTAAAATAAGACAATTAGATATCATGCACTTGAAATAAGAGACTAAAGTATTTCTTTTTACTATTTAAATGTAAATTGTCTTATTCCATTGGCAAAGTGTCTCACTTACTTGATTAATTAAAAAAAAAGTGCTTCTTTTAAGAAAAAGTGAGTTACTTATATTCAAATTTTTTGCAGTGCAATTCAATAAACATTCCAATAACAATGCTATATTTTATTAATGTAGCAATAAAAAAAGAGTCAGATTCATTCCTGAGGGAGCTTCATTTCCTCAAACACATGTAGTAACACATAAACATTTTTTTATGAATAAACTGAAGTAAGATAAAGCATTCTTCACCAAAAAAAGTGTATTTTTTAGTGACATCATCGGACCATGTGGTACACATGGTTATTGACCCCCCAACATGCAGAACTCAGGGATTTGTTGGTTTTTAATGAGGTCCTGCTGTGTTGGTAGTTAAAAAAAACTGCTCTGCTGTCACCATTTCAAAGAGAACAGGGAAGATTGGTAGCATTTGCTCTGACTTCTGACCATAGCTGGTTTTCCTTTGCTCTGCATCAGCTCAAACATGATGTCTTTGTGAAAGTGATAGCAGAAAGGGGTTCTGACTTGAAAACAAAGACAGACATTTCTCTTTTAAAGATTCTAGAAGAAGCAGAGCAGACAATGGCCATGATGGCCTCCTTTGTGTTTTGATAAATCCTCTAATGATTTACCTTTGCACCCAAGGATGGGGTCATTAATTGATTACTATCTCTTTAAGTACCATCAGCAGTTTTTTCCTTTGAAGGAGTCAACTTTTGCAAAAACTGAAAAGAACCAAATGGTCGAGCGAAGGCTGCCTGGTTATTGCTTATTGCCTCCAGCGTTTCTTTGGCTTCGCTGATTTTTCTAATTTTAAACAATGCCATCATGGTGGGTTTATTTTAAGTCATCATCATGTCTCATAGATTTTTTCATAATGTAGATTTACATAATTTCTTTATTTTCAAGAGTCGATAAAATAAAAAGACATTTAGAAAAACGAATTTAGGAGGCAGGAAGACCAGGTTAGTGACTTGCACATATGTGATCATTCACTTCCAGACGCTGCTTACTCTGGTTCTGTTGTCAGTAAACGTTCTAGAAAATCTGTTTTTCTGCCTTGAATACTATATCCTTCAGTTCTGAGTTTGACAAACGCTTATAATTACCAAATAACAGAGATGTAAAACTATAAATTAAAGACACGGTATGTCACGTTTACATACTGTCAGAATATATGCGACTTTGTTTCAATGAAGTGGATGCTAACTGTGATAAAGCTCTCTGTTTTTTGTGTAATCCAACACTGGGAGAGAATTTGTGCTGTTAGCAGTGTTTTTAAATGGGTAGTTCTAGTTACTCCCAGAAGAAAGTAAAAAGTTGGCTCCATGAAGTACGTTAACTAACAAAAACCTTCCTCATCTACCATGCTAATTGCTAGCATGTCTTTTTTTTTATCATGTTTCAAATGTTCTGTGTAATGTCCTCCACTTTTCTATTCTCAAATCCTTTCCTACTAATAGGAAAAAAAAAGAAAAAAAACTGCTCGAAAATATTGTTCTATTTCTTAAGATTTGGCCTCTGCCTCTTGGTCTTGGTCTTTTTCGAGGCTTGGTTTTGGTCTTGGACTCAAAGTGTTTAGTCTTGGACTTTGAAGGTTTTCTCTTAGCCTCAGAATGTCTGGTCTTGCTCTTGGAAGATCCAATCTTAGTCTTGGACTCTGAGGATATTGGAAGGACCAGTCTTGACTCAACCCCTGCTCCTGTTGTGCTAACAGACAACTCCGTGATTTAGTAAACTAGATCTGTCAGGTCTAAGAACCTGCCATGTGTGGTACCACAAGGATCAGTCATGAGCACTATTCTCTTTCTTCTGTCTATATATTCAGCATTGGTTAAATATTTAGGATGTTTTTGACGTGTCTTATTAATTCTATGCTGATGATACTGCCATGCTCCTGATCTGACCCGTTTTCTCTCTCTGTTGTGTGTAACAGAGGGCTATATTGTTGCATTTGCCGTAAACTGTGACAGATCTCAAAACAACCATATCTACCAAATAGACTAAATTTTGCTCAATATTTTTACAAAATCAAATTTATGATTTAGATCAAAAGAAAAGGTGGTTCCTGTGTTTGCCTCTTTTCTCGTGAGTGTTTCTGTTTTCTGTCAAATCTAATTGCTGAGTTAATGTGTTAATGGTCACTGATCCTTGGCATTTTCTAGTCTCTGTCTATTTCTAGCCTTAGATAAAAACATATCTCTGCTCTTAGAGGGATAAAACTTACCTCGTTTTTGCATGAAACTGAAAAGATCATCAAGAAATTCCTTGCGCTTTTCATCATCGTCCAGGTCATACAACTGAAAAACAGAGAGACCAAAAATGTCTTGAATCAGTAGCGTCAGGGCCCCATGGGTCTGTGAAACAGATCTTTGATACACCAATCCCAGTGAACTGGTTTTAAATCGGTGGACGAACAATGTGTTCAAAACAGATGTCAATGTTAGAAAAAATCTGCTTAAGCACAAAGACTTTTTCTATTTAGTGATCAAAGGCCCGGAGGATCTAGATCAGGGATGTCAAACTGGTTCCAGAAAGGGGCGTGAGGCTGAAGGTTTTCTTTCCAACCAAGCAATAGCACACCAGACTCCAGTCATCTCATCAAGTGAGTCCAGTCTTAACATGATGAGATGACTGGAGTCTGGTGTGCTATTGGCCCTTTCTAGAACCAGTTTGACACCTGTGATCTAGATCTTCAAATAAATACAAATTCACAAACTATACAGATTTTCTCCTCTCACCATTCCTTTTTACTGCGTACATCTGTCATCTGCAGGATTACTAGGATGGCTATGCAGTCATTGGGTGCATCAGAGATGGAGAAGAAGCTAAGTACTGGGAGCTGGTGAACCGATTTGTGATATAATATGGAAACAATTATGTCATGGTAAATAGCCTGTACTTATATAGCGCCTTTATTTAAGTCAGGAGACTTGACCAAAGTGCTTTACACTACATTTATTCACTCACACACTGATGTTGGCAAGCTACATTGTAGCCACAGCTGCCCTGGGACTCACTGACAGAAGCAGGGCTGCCGTACACTGGCGCCACCGGGCCCTCTGACCACCATCAGTAGACAATGAAGGTGAAGTGTCTTGCCCAAGGACACAACGACAATGAAAGTCGGAGTCGGGGCTTAAACCGTCTATCCTTCGACTTCAGGGCAAACTCCTACATCCAACGCCACTGTCGCCCCATCTCATCTCTAATGTGGCTAAAATAAAGAAAATGATTTTAGATTTTAAAAGAAATAGGTCTGACACTATTTCCAGGATGTAAGAAGCTTATAGAGGAAGCAAAGGTCCAACTAGCCTGTAGGATTATCCTGGTACTGAAACCATGTTAGGGTGGTGGTTGTGTAGCCTATTCTATTTGTGGGAAAATTGGACAGTATATTGTAAAACATGAGATTCCTTTTTTCTTATATTTATACTGTTTTGATGCTTAGGAACGTGTTTTTCAATCATAGGTGAGTTAAAAACAAAACATTGCCTGGATATAACACAGCTTGGACTGAATTATAAAAAAAAGGCAACATATATAATCTTCCACTCTCCTTCACTGTTCAGTGTAAAGTCATCTAAATAAATGGGATCTTCCATTAGTTGCAGCAAAAATATTAATGTACACAAAGAGCTAATAGTATCGACTAAATTACTGGAAACTATTAGCTGTACACTGGAAACAATAAAAACTAGATAAGTCATTATTTCTTAAAATGAGTGCATTTGTTCTGGAATTGAGGAGATAAAAGTGACATTTTACCAATGGAACAAGACCATCAGATTTAAAATAAGAAAACACAAATTGCATTGTCTTATTTCAATTGCATATTATCTAATTAGCTTATTTTAAGAGTAAAAATTCTCATTCCATTGGCAAATTATTCATTTACCACTCATTTAACAATTGAAATCAAGGGTAAATGCACTTGATTTAAAATTTTTTTCCTTATTTCTAGATCTTTTTTCCAGTGTAAACTCTGATGATGTGTTGCACCTTCTGGAAAATGCAAGCTCCTCTCTTACAGAAAAAATAAACCTGATAACTCAGTTCCTGATTATCTCAGACTCGTCTATCGTTTAAAAAAACAAATCATATTCCTTTCCTTTCTTGCCTAAAATGAATCTCTGTTCAACCATTTCTCTACAGTTTGGAAACATCAGGCAGGCAGACATCAATATTTCTAACAGACTGAATGAGCTGACAGGATTAAATAATACCCCATTTCTCAAATTAATAGAGGATTGCCTTAGAGTTTCTGGCATTAAAGAGATGGTCTTTTTTGACAACTATATTGGCACTTTGATCACAGTTAAACCAGGCAGGGTTTGGTTTAAAGGATTACCTTTTGTCATATAAGGTTTTTAAGGCAATCCAAACCTCCACATATAAGTTAAATACTTTACAAAATGCTAACAGTTCGGGAGGATAAAAACCTCTAAGCCTTTATAAATAATATCAAGTGTTTAGCTTACAATATAACTTAGAAATGATAGATTTATAATAGATTTTCTATCAGAGATGGATGGTGGAAGGAAGCTGAACAAACCCTAATAATGGAAACCTGCGTCTCATTGTTTTCATTCATCTGCAGTTTTGTCTAAAACTGAACATCTGAATTGGAACATCCTTAAAAAAATCCAACCTTTTAACACAGAGTAATAAAACAATAAATACTCTAGAGGACGTATTTATTTGAAAAGGTTTCTAGCTGTAAATATTCTGGCAGTATTTCTAATTTATCAAAATTTTATTTATCTATTTAACCATCTAACCCTTAAAATAAAACAGAGGCACATCCAGCAATGTTGCTTCCAATTAGAAAATATGACTTTAATTTCATTTTCTTTACTGGTACCATTTAAACCTTATGAGTAAAATGTGGAATCAGATCAATCCAAAATGACAACATTTAGTTCATCATACAAAATCCTCATAGAATGCGTTACACAGGACAAAGGATTTCCCAAATGGGTTTCTCGCTGACCAACACTTGCCCAAACTGCACGGGAGATTTACCTAATGACTGAATACACGCTCTCTGATACTTTAATCTGTCTATCAGTTTTAGCTATAAGTATGACAAAACAAGAAGGCTCTATTTTACATTTACATGAGGTTTTGGTTGCCCTGCGATGGACTGGCTACCTGTCCAGGGTGTACCCCACCTCTCGCCCATAGACAGCTGGAGATGGGCACCAGCACCCCTCTCGACCCCGTTTGGGATTAAGCGTGTAAGAAAATGGATGGATGGATGGATGGATGGATGGATGGATGGATGGATGGATGGATGGATGGATGGATGGATGGATGGATGGATGGATGGATGGATGGATGGATGGATGGATAGATGAATGAGGTTTTGGTCTGCACACTCATTTTTCTCAGAGAAAGAGATCTATAATACAACAAAACCAGGAACTGGTTTAAATCAGTGGATGAAGCACCAAAGACACTCCAGTCTGTACTGTCAAAAAGTTCCTGTAAGAACCATTGGAACTTATCAGTCCAATTCGATTCAGTTTATTTCTATAGCGCCAACTCACATCATGTCATCTCAAGGAACTTTCCAGTTAACAAGATCATCCAGTCAGATTGATTTAAAGTTTTCGATCTAAGGAAAACCAGCTGATTGCATCGACTCATTGACTCTTCAGCAATCCCTCACACTAAGCATGCTTGTAGCGACAGTGGAGATGAAAAACAGCCTTTTAACAGGAAGAAACCTCCAGCGGAAAAAGGCCCGTCGAGGAAACACAGCCAGACAGGTGGGTTCCGAGCCAGCTCCCATGTCAGAGGATGAAAAGAGCACATCCAGTTAGTCACAGTCAGAGAAACAGGACTACTTTGAAAAACAGGCCAAGCTCACAGCCAAACAGGAACAGACAATAGTCGTGACCAAAGGCCATGAGGTTTTGAGTTTTTGGCTATAAATTAGGATGAGATGAGGTATACAGCTATCAGAGGATTGGAAGATGCCTTGAGTCCTTCTGCTTGGGGCTACTGTGGCCTTCCAGAGCTGGATCCATTCAGAATGTTATTTGTTTTGTCTAATTATTAAATTAATCATCAGAACAATAGATAGGTTAATTAATTAATTAATTAGTAGTGAGCTCTGATGCTCACTAGGCCTCTGCCTTCTTTGCACTTAGTGTGTAGTCAGTGGGTTCTGGATTTGGGCCGGAATCCACCATGCATGGTGAGTAGCTGCCGTTTTTTTAAATATCAGTGACCTCGATTTCCACCTTTGGCCAACTTATTATCCCAACAGAATATCTGATTTCTGGTAACGTATAGATGCCCATTGCCTTGACCTTGCTGTTACCATTGAGCTGACTTCTTAGAACATACTCGTTATAGACTTGGATGTTGTTACCCTGCGACTGGGTCAGGGTTTGTATTTCTGCAGCATTCCATGGTGGATATTTTCCTCTATGGGCGTTGTTGACTTTACCTTAGCCAAGTAATGCAAATATTGCTAATTCTGTACTTTATATCTGCTCATTATTTTCTGTGATGATCTCAGTAGGGATCCTAATTAGTGCTGTATTCACATCAGGAAAGAAATCATCTGGCAGCACCATACTTAACTTAGCTAGCTGTTGTCGATTACTTGAGTATCAATATAAGTAAAATCTAAATAATTCAAAAAAAAGAAAGTTAAAAACAATCCACTGGACTTTGTTTCTAAGTTTGAATGGGATGGGAAATGTCGCTTCCCATCCAGGAAGCTTTTTCAATTCAAAATGTCGGAAATAGTGTTGAGTTCCAGGTTTTACACAGTAGCCCAACAAAGCCTTGTTCTTGTTTAGAAAACATGCAAATGGAAACGGACCCCAGTCCCTTTGGAATGCGGGTCGTTTGGCGTCTTTGTTAGCCTGCAATGCCCCATACCCGTCTGAGTCATTAAAGGGAGTTGATGGCCTGGCGAAATAGGTGTTTCCTTATAGACTTTTATGGTAATAAGTCCTTCTTTTCCTGGAGCACATACCTAATGGTTGCTGCATTTTATGGATATTATACAAAAATTTGACAATGAATGTTAAAAAAGAATAATCATAGTGTGCAAAAAGCAGAAAGCTACTGTATGGAAACTGAAAAGATGAAGTTATGAGGCATTCCATCTTATGCATTAATCAATATTTAATTTAAATAAAATCAAATTGTTACGCATTTCTCTGTGTTAACTCTCACATTGACTTTTAGATAATAATTATTCGATTAAATTGAGCTGTCCTTTTGTAAAGGCAGAACACATACAATTAAAACTGTAAAAAAACTGCTTTATTTAGAAACAGCAATCTGTTTTAACATTATATGAGGACATTTAAAAAATTTATATCAGCAAACTCACATTTAATTTTTAATCTCTTGTTCTTTATGCGTGATAAGAAGAATTTTCATTGTCATTATACTGAAAAATGTTTAAAAAAATCAATCTTAGTCCTTTTTAAAGGGTCAGATGAGAACTAACACATTCTGCAGTATTGTTTCTAATATTGTTCCTGCTTTATAAAACATATCAGCAGAGAGGATTTTTACTTCATTCACTCACAGACAGAGAGGATTAAAAAACAAACTGGAATTTACCAAGAATTAGGACTTTATAAAAGATTTCGTCCTTATAAAGACCGCCTTACCTGCTTAAACTGCTCCTCGTAGGTCCACTCTTGGTGGGAGTGGGAGTGCGTGGACGGGGACTCTGCGCGCTGGTGCCGGTCTGTGGGGAGGAATCCCTTCGGAGACAGACAGGCTGATCTGGGATCGGACTCTCTGAGCTGGGAGCCGTCCGACATGTCTTCATCCTCCTCCTCTTCATCAATCATCTCCTGTTCATCCGCATCTTCCTCCTTTCCCTCCTCTCCATCAGCGCGTGCTTTGGCATCTCCGTCCTCATCCTCTGCGCGAAGACGCGCCCCTCCGATGCAGGAGCTGGATCCAGGGGCCAGTGGCCCCCCCATCGCGGTGTGGTAGCGGCTGAAAGCCAGAGCTTGTTGCTGGATCCGGGACTGCATCAGGCTGTGGAAATGCCGGTTTTTCTCCGCCTGCCGGAGCTTCTCCTCCACGGCGAGGCGGGCAGCCTGCTGGCGCTGCAGGGTCTCCATCACCGCCTCCAGCCTGGTCCCGCCGCCCCCGGCGGGGGCATGCTGCGAGCCGCTGTGGCAGGACTCAGATGCCGGCTGATTGGGGAGACTGTGGGCTGACGAGTACGACTGTGGAGAAACCACAGGGTCAACTTGTCCTGGTTTAACCTTTTAAAGGAAATCTAGAAATTTTTTCGACTCACTAAAAACCTGAAAAGTGTCTAAAATGAATTCAAAATATGTTGTTTCCAAAAAGACAAGTTAAAGTCAGTCCAGGTTCTAACTTCCTCTTAAAGTGAATGATTGTGCAGCAGCAGAGAGTTAAAATAGAGACACTTACCAAAGGGGGATTGTTTGCCATATTTTTCCCAGTTGTTCAGTTTTTCAGTCCAAGAATCCTACCTGCAGATATTTGATTGAGCAAAGCTGAGCGCTGAATGCTGGAGACCTGGGGTGCATTTGGCAACAAGTGGTGCATGTGGTGGGAATGACCTATGAAGGCAAAGATCAGCCCTGCCATCAATGCCTCAGAAACACCTCTTTCATCAATGATTGCACCTCTGAGCCACAGCTGATCACCTTCCTGACTTTATTGGGAGTTAAATCTAAACTATGACAGATTTTTTGTTTTTCTCTCAGCTGTGTTACTTTTGGTCTCTAGAGAGAATCACTTATTTTCCACAAAATAACTTAATAAATCTTGAGATAGCAAATGTCTATTTATACAGTTTTTTGCTTGTGTCTCAACAAAAGTAAAACTAAATATGATACACAATCACTGAGGTTTTTTATGCAATCTAAAGTAATCTAGACGTTATCTGTTTATGCATAGTAAATATATTCAAATTTAACCATAAATCAACCTTTTATTTTTACGTAGATAATGTAAGTTTTTTTTTTTTGTGATCAATTTTTTTTTATTGTTTTTCACATTTTGCACATTAGAGGAGGAACATTTGCACCAACCACAGGTAGTCAAAATTTTGTACAGTGTATACATATTTGTGTCATCAGAAGTAGAACACCTTTCCTCCCCGCCCATGTTAACACTCCCCAGCCCTTGCCCTTATTTCCTCCCTCCCCACCCATTGATGTCAAGGCATTAAAGAAATAGCAACAATAATAATAAAAAATTGATAGTAAGAAATGAAAATAAGAAAAAAAAGGGGGTGGAAATAAAGTAAATAAAATCAGAAAAATAACCCCCTTCCCCTACCATCCAGAAATCACGTCCACAAGTAATGTAAGTTTTAATTCCTTAGCCTGAATGATGGGATATAAAAAGTCAGCTTTCATCCAGCATTGATATAATTGATTAATTAAAAACTAAGATTTAAAAAATGCATGCCATTGAATTTTAATCATTTTATTCTATTGAGTTAATATTAAAGTGTAATACTTCATTTGTCTTTGACATTTTTAAATAATCTTTACTCTATGGCAGGGGTCACCAACGTGGTGCCCGTAGGCACCAAGGGGCCCTCAAGGACACCATGGGGTGCCCTCAGCATCTTTTGAAAACAGAACAATTCACCAGTGGACTAAATCTAAAATGCTATTTTTTACTGAAGCTCTTATTTTGAAGCATTTTATCATATCAATGACTTACAACATTTGAGGATTTATATGGATTCATAATGAGAATATCTAAAAGCAAATAAAAAATGAAAAGAAACAATAGAAATATGTTTATTATCTATGAAGTTCAGGTGAACGCTGACTCCTCTAGTTCATAGGTCAGTATTGGTAGCCCGTCCTATGACTCAGTACCCATAAAGTAGCCCTCAGCCTTAAAAAAGTTGGTGACTCCTGCTCTATGGTAACGCCTGATCTGTATCCATGTATTCAAAGTAGCATTTCAACATTTTTAAATAGATATCAAATGCATAATATGTAGACACAACAGGTAATTTCAGAAACTAATCTATTGCAGAAGAGTGAGAATCCAGTTTTCATTCAGGTGTTATAGAATTTTAAGAGCTGGATTTAAATTTCAGAGAGATTAAGCCAAGAGATTAATGCGATTCATGTTTTCCAACAAAAACAACTCATAGTGTCTGTCATGATTATATTAAAGGTCTGACCCCAAGATGCAGAAGACCAAACAGAGAGACCAGGGAAAGTTTAAACAGGTTTATTTTAGGAATAATGTGATGAATCCAGTGCTGCTCTGAGCACTGCTCAACAGGGACTGAAAGGTGAGGGGAAGACACTGTGGTTAGTTCAGGCTTAGTGGTAAATTTGAATCTTTGGTTTTGCATAAGAGGAAAAGGTTGCAGACTCACTTCCCCAGGAAAAGGTGTCCTTCAGGAATCCAGACTGTGAGGATTGTACCAGAGATTGTCTTGTTTGGTGTTGGGCGGACTGGGTTACTCAGACTGCGGATGTTCCTTGGTGAATGGAGAAACTGACTGCCACTCAGATTTCCTGCTGTACTTGAACGGGCTGTGGTGCAGAAGAAACCTTTGCTTGGTGTGAAGCTCAAACGACCACTTGGGGAGAGTTGATCCAAACTTCCTGTTTGGAACCCCAGCTCAGTTAGAAGCTCAGTTGAACCTTCCAGAGAGAGAAGGACCAAATAAATCCAGTTTGCAGGATGACTTCCTGCCAAGAGGCAAAGACAAAAAAAAAAGTTAAGACTCAGGTTGACAAAAACTCAGTTTGATTCAGAAAAACTCAGCTTGGCTAGAGAATCCAACTGGCAAACAAAAACTCAGGTTAGACTCTGCTAAACTAAGCATGGCTAGAATACCCTGTATTGGCAAACACTCTGGCGTCGAGGTAGTGGCAGTCAGCAGCTTAAGAACACTCCACAGGTAATGAGACAATGAGCTGCAGGTGTGCAGGGAGAACCAATGAGGACGGGGCACCACCTGGTGGAGGAGGAAAGGAAACACAAAAACAGACCACACAAACTGGATTCCTGACAGTGTCGTGGAAATATTATGCTGAGTTCCAGATGTCCTTCAGTCAAATTTTCATTTTCATTTTTTGACTGAAATACCACAGAAAGTCAGAATAACAATGGCCATTCAAGACGACATTTATCAGGGGAAGTCAGGATGGGGGGCAGCGTTTTTCATTGGGGGACAAAAAAATGAAAGAAAAAACATAGCAATAATTCATCAGTTCATTTTTTTATATATTAAGTGAGATGCAGAACCAAAGAGAATCTTGTTACTCAGAAGACCCCAAATATAGCAGATAAAAGTAGCAGCGCACTGTTTTATCAGCCCTGATTTACTTAATTCTTAGATTTCGTTGATCAGTCGATTTGAACCAATGATCTTATTTTCCCCTCAAAGGTATAAAAACAGCCTCTTTCAATGCTCTGCACTTTTCATTTATATTTGAGAGTTTTATCTTTGGCAGTTAAAGCATTTTTCACACGTATTTTTTTTTATGTTAATAAAATAAGATAGAAACACTCAACGTTTATTGTGAACTTATAACAACTGGTATAAAAGATATCTGTCAAAATCCAACAGGTATTATAAAGATGGGTTATCGGCTATAAAACCGCAATTGATGCACCCTAAAACTGTTATCCTATCACAGCAATGCAATCATTGTTGAAATAAAAATGTAAATTAAAAAATTTATTAGATCAAAGAGATAAATTATTAATAGTTTCTGTGTCAGTGAATACAATCAGAAGAAATGTATTCAGCTTTATGTCTTCAGTACAGGGGCCATTAAAAGTGTCAGGCCTGGTTTAGGAGCACTGGCCCCTGCCGGCCCCTATATAACCCCCCATGTTATGAGTCAGAAAGTCGGTAGAACAGGATGGTATCTGACTTCCACATTCAAGATTAATGTTAACCATATTATCAGTGTTTAACTGTCCTTCTTTGTAGCAGCATCAGGTCAGACACTCAGATACTACTCATGTTTATAACACATCATACTTCATTGGATGTGTGCACAACAGGACAGTGTATTTGTCATTTTCTTGGTAGAATCAGTGGCTGTGGTGCTAATAAAGATACGAGGGTCCAAAAACAGAAAAACTGAACACACTTACCTTCAGAGATTATGTCCCCAACTTCTCATATTTCAATTTGGACAATAATTATTCAGTCTTTATTCAAAACACTTTGGTTAACCAATATCAAAGGTCAAACCAAAGTGTTTTGAACTCAGAACAAGGCCGTGAGCAATCTCTGTGTCACAGTTTGGACAGATTGGGTTTGGATCTGTAAGGATCTTGAGGGCTAAGGAGTGTAGAAAAGCATGAAGCATTAGGCATTGATGGTAGCTTGCATTACAATGGTACAAAGCTGATCATTCATTTGTTGATCTGGATTTTCAAATCTGACTCTATCATCTCTGAAAGAAGAAAGAGAAATAAAAATGTTTGGTAAATTAGTTTAGTTATTAGTTTTTCACAATTTTTAACAAGAAATTGTCTCATTTCAGGACCAAGGCTAGCTCCTTCAAATGACCTAATAAAAGATAATAAAAGAAGCTCAGGGTGGGGCTAGTGCCTATCTCCAGCAGTCCATGGAGGAAAGGCGGGGTACACCATCACAGGGCTACACAGAGACACATAGGCCTTTTCCAACGCGCAGGAGCTTACTTGGAGCTGGAGCTAAAGCCGGAGCTTAAAATGGTGCTTTCACCAAACTGGATCGGTTTTAGGTACAAGGAGCCAGCTCAGAGTCAACTCCCAGACATGTCATTAGGTCAACGTGTACATTATAAATTTATTCCAACAGAGACAGAGGACTGCCAGAAACAAAAGCAGAAGAAGAAAACGACTGCAAGACAAACAAAGCAACCAAGATGGAAACATTTCTAGAAGCACAGATGCTTCTCTTTGCTGTACAAATATTTAAGGTTAAACAGTGACAAAAGTTGTCACTGGCACTCCTCAAGTACACGCTGTGGTGAACTCCACCCCTTTTACCTTGTGTATTTGGTGCTAGGCAAGCTTTCGTTTGGCCCAACAAAAAGGTGGTGCTACTGAAGCACCAGTTTCTGGCTCTTCTGGCTTTTAGCTTCGGTGCCAAGATAGCTCTAATAGCAGTCCAGAAAAGGCTCCACAGAGACATACAACCATCCTCACACATCCAAATAAAGACAATTTAGAGACACCCATTAACCTAA